TTATGTTGTTGCAAACTATATTTAAATTTAGGCTTATTTAAGCGTTAACATGATTTTTTGACAACAATTATAATTAACACAATAAATGTTTAAATATCATAATTAATATTTTATATATTGTTATATTTTTTATTCGCTTATGTTGTTGTTTACTATTATTTAAATTTAACGAAATAATAATATTATTGTGTTTATTCTTTTGTTTGTAATTATGGTTCGTGCATATATATATATATATATATTGGTAAACAAAGAATAATTTGTTAATTTCATATTTAATAAGTAAATTTGCATATTTTTTCTTGTTGATTGTACCCAATTTTTATTGATGTTAAATTATTAATTTTTACATCATATTCAATCTTATCATTAGTTTGTCATTATAACTAATAAATTATCGATGTCAATTTAAAAAATTGGTTTATTTTTATATAATTGCCTAAAAAGAAAATGAGTATTTTGTGTCATGTTATTATTACTTTTGAATTATAACTATTTTCGTTAACAGACTCTTTATTGTTGTTTGTAAGATTACAATAATTATTAATTGTTGTTTTAATCATTTATTAAACATTTTAATTTAATAAAAAAGCTTAAAGCTGGTTTATTGTTATATAATATGGTGTAATTAATCATAAATAATATTAATATTATTAAACCTTAAAAACAGGGTTTTCAATTATTCATACAACAAAGTTATTAATATAGTAAAAAGTTTAAACAAACAACTTATGTACAATAATGTAGAAACAAATGTATTTGTTAAATATAATTTTCAATCGTATAATATATTTTAATAACAGTGTTATTCTCACATATTAATTGTAACTTTTGTGTAATTAATTTTAATTTTGTTAAAACAAAAAAATAAATATAATCAATTGTTATCAATTTCATTTTTGCAACCACTTAGATATACTGATTTTTAATTCAACATCTTTTTCTTTATAATTACATAAAAGCAATATATAATATACATTTTTCTTACTATCTTTTTATTATTTTTAGTTTCACAACACACAACAGTAAACACTTGTATATTATAAAAACAACAACAATAATGTTTAATTAAAATCGAAACACTAATTAATTATTAATTTTCAATAATTTAATAACAACAGTTAAGTTTTACTGTTATTGCTACACTTTTGTTTTGAAAAAATGGCCCAAAAAAATAAAAGCGGTAACTTTTCAGTGTGTAAACATGTAACATTAAACTAAAAATTAAAAAAGGAACACCAAATTTAAGAGAATAATACAGTTTTTAACTATTTTATTTTTAATTTATTGTACACGAAGACGTGTACATAAGATATGAAATAAAAATAGATCATTGAATATTACAATAACTATTTTTTGTTGTTTTTGTGTGTTGATAAATTCACATGTACGTGTTAATATAATCACATAACTATATATTATTTTTTGATATGTTTAACATAGTCATTTAAAAAATAACAAATTATTTTTAAAAATTTGGAACTACTTTATTTATTCATGACTGTATTTGTGATTACAATTTTGACACTATGAAATCATTTCATACATATACATATTGAAAGACTATGTTATATATTAAGACCATTATTTAAAAACAACAAAAACGTCAAATTATATTTAAATCATATTTTGTTATTCAACTTTTTTTCATTCGAATATTTATTCTTGATTAAAATCAACACATAATCATTTATCAATAATTATTTTTTTATATTTTTAACACTTTAAGTACTCTATATATATATCAACATTATAATAACTATAGTTAATGTGATATTTATCGTGTATACTATTATATTAACATCAAATATATTTTATTTGTTGGTTGTATCCAATATCAATACTAAAATGTTGTTACAATCTATATACCATTAATTTACATATAATACATAATTTGTGTGTGAATACAAAATTATTTTTAATAAATTACTTATTATTACAATTCGATATATCATGTTTACATTATCACATTTTGTGTTTAATTAAGTCTTTTAAAAAATACAAATTCTTATCTTAAATAAAATAAACTTATTATATATAATACTTAAATAATCATTATTATCCTTTATTATTAAGATATTAAATTTGATAGATTTTAAATTAAAAATTTAAATTTATTCATTTGTCAATCCTTATATACATTTTAATATATAATTCTATCATGACAAACCAAGCTCTTGGTTGTTGTTTTGCATGACTTAAAACAATTGTTTGGGTCAAACAATTTTCATTCCATTCTGAATCTTCTTTAAAATAATTTATAAATCATTTGACTCGTTTTAAAAAATAACCAATTTGGATTCAATGTTTATTTTTAAACATTATTATCAAATTTTACCATTTTATTA